TGTGCAGGCGTATGCCTTGGTCAAATCTTCATCAGCTGATATGATCATTTCTGCAAGTCATTTTCACTCAGTGTGCTGACCGAGCCCGCGGGTCGTGGGATTGTTTTCCCTATTTGTTTTTTCTTTATCCAGAGAGGAAGGTGTAACTATTGAAAGACCCCAGAAACATTCCAAGGTGAATAAAAACCCCTTCAGGAGGACAACCAGCACCCCAGAAGAACCGTCCACCACAAACTCAAGATGGTGCCCTGGTGCCTACCCTGCTGTCATGCCCTGTCATCAAAATCTTGACATCTGCATAGGAGAAAGGCAAGAAGTACATACAAACAGTACAGGGCCAAGCTCTCCGTTTCCCATTTTGAATGAAGGTGACAGCAGGCATGCACAGGTCTTTCATAGCTCAGTGGGGAGCCCATCTTTATCAGTAGGCTCAGGCTATTTGTAGGGACTCCAGTGGCAAGCAGAGTTTTTGTTCTGACAATCAGAATTCCAGCAAATGGTAAATGTTCCTTCATGCTGAGAAGTGGGGAATTCAATAATACTTTGGCTGAGTTCATGCTGAGCTGCAAAAATAGGATGAATATGGAGAAGGACTGTGACTCAAAAGACATAAATCAGTGAGCCCAAGCCTCTGCTTTTGTTCCCAAGCTCTCGTCCTCAATTCTCTATCCTTCAGGGTCATAGGAATGGTTTTTTATACTTGTTCTACATGCCTTGGGAATGGGAACGGTGGTGGTGACTATGATTCTTATTTTCCCTAAATCATGGAATTGCATTCTGAGGGCTTAAAAATGGCCATTCTAACTATGAGAGGGGATTTTATTATCACCTCACTGGGTAAAGATAAGACAGTTTTGGCCTGGGTATGAAGGCATAAGTCACAAACAATCCCACACCAGTTTGAAATCATGATTAATAAAATGGTTATTTATTTAAAGGGGAAAACTTACAGATCACCATCATGGACAACAGCCCTCTGCACAATCAGGAAAGGAGCCTAGTCCCTGGAAGTGGAGCTGGAAGCCAGAGAGAGAGCAGAGGGAAGTGGCCGCTTTTTTAAAGGGAGAGAGACCACGCCCCAATGGGCTGGTATCTCAGTGGCTATTGGCTGAAGGAGCAGAAGGAGCTCCCGCAACACCTCCCCCTTTTGTTTAAGTAAGAGAGTTCTAAACCTACTATGAAATTATATGCAATGAGTACAAATACCTTATTCTAACTAGTTTAAGTCTTACATAATAAATAGCTTGGCCAAGTCAGGAGTGGAAAGTAACTACATTTATATAGTCTTCAACACCATCGAAGATCTGAGAAGGGAAATAATGTTACCTGAGTAATTAGGAAGTGCAGTCAAACAACTTCCAAAACATGCAACAAATCACAGAGACAACTAGCTACCTGGGCAATCACCCAAGGTCACGTTTGCAGAGTTGAAGCAACCAACTTTGGCTAAGGCCTAACATAACTGATACCATTTTCAAAGGCAAGAAACTTGTTAAAACTATCTTACCCTGTCTTGGCAGGATGTGTCAGTCCTGTTTTTTTCCATTCATGGATACTCTGAAAATATAACAATTCAATGTATCCTATTTGATGGTAATTTGTATCTTTGGTTTTTGTTTGTTTATTTGTTTGTTTTTTGAGACAGGATTTCTCTGTGGAACAGCCCTAGCTATCTTGGAACTAGCTCTTGTAAGACCAGGCTGGCCTCGAACTCACAGAGATTTGCTGCCTCTGCTTCCCAAGTGCTGGGATTAAAGGAGTGTGTCATCACCACCTGACTTGGTAATTTTTGTCTCGCTGTGTGTGTCATATATAATATATGTGGTGGGGAGAGAGACACCATGTAGAGATTTGTGGAGGTCAGAGATTGTTTTTGAGGTAGGGTCTTTCACCAAACCTATAATTTTCCATTTCTTCTATATCGAATGGCTAGGAGGACTCTTGGATTGGCATGTCTCTGCCTGCCAGCACTGAAACTATAAACATGTGTGTTACCATGCCAGGCTTCTCTGTGGATGCTAGGGATGTGAACTTCGGTCACTAAGCCACTTGCCCAGCTCTGCATGTAACCTCTGTGCTTCCTCGTGGTTCTCAGGCATTTGCTCACTATTGGAAGGTATTTGCTGAGAGGGTGTTTCAGAGAACTGCTTTTGCAGTTTAACAGATGCATCCCTCAGCTTTGAGTCCTTCCAGCTCACTTAGGTGCCCTCTCCCTTTACTCTTTAGGAGACAGTGAAGCCACCTGCCGTGAGAGAGAGCTGGTACTGCACGAGTGGCTGGCACCAGCTCTGCTCCTCCACACTTTTCAGCTAACTAGCATATCCACTTTCTTCTTCCTGACAACACATTTTTTCCCTCTATGTTCATTAACTGAACAGATTTTCAGGACAACCAAGGAGACGAGGGAGTCTAGAGGAGAGGGGAAGAAAGAAGGCGGCCAGTCCTTTACCTTTTTCTCCTCACAGAACCGCAGGATACATGATACACTCATCCTCATCTATGCTCATTCCCGTCTCCCTGCTTGTCATTTGCTGTCCCTTTCTCCTCTCTTCTAGGATCCCTCAGGGTGACACGTCAGATGACGTCATCTGCCTCCCTAAACTTCCCGTGGCTCTGTAATCCCACGGGCTTCTCTGCTTTACTAGGCTGTTATTGTGTGGTGGTCCACCAGTTGGGATTATCTGCTGTTTGCTTGCTTTTAGAATGGGGCTAAATAAATTCTGCTTCAGTCACAAGATATTAACTCCCATCACATAAAATCAAGGATGTGCCAATGTGCCTCTCAGCGTGCTCCTCTGTGCTCCTGGATGGAATCGTAATGGTCGTGTTTCTTCTCTGAGACCACTTTTTGGTTTCTTCTTAGGCCATAGGAAGGATGTCACCATGTCCAGTTCACACTAACAAACTCATCCCCCTCCTTAAGGGTTGTGGATCTATAGAAATTGTTTAGTAATATGCCTAGTACATGTATCTGTTTTCTCACAAATTTTTGAGTAACCTATTATTATGTGTCTGTATTTTATACTTTGGGTTGTGGTTGACTTCATGTTTTGATTCATTGCTCAGAGAAATTTTCATTTAGAGTCATTTGGAGCTCCTTTGTCTGTCATTTTCTTTCTCTCTTCAGCTTTTTTTGTGCTTTTAAATTTTATGTTTCTATAATGGTCCCCCAAGTCCACCTTGTGCACAATATGTCTAGTTCTAGTGTAAGTTATTTGTAGAGGAAGTACCTGATTTCCTTATTGGAGAAATAAAAATTTCAGGTGGGTTCTCTGCTGCTGTAACTTCAAAACCTGGAAGATTTTCTAGGTCTGATAAAGAAATGCATGTCATGTCATGTAAGTAATTCTATCTATTAACACCTTTATATTACACCAACATCTCTATTAAGGCAATGAATTTATATTGCTGTCAACAAGTCTAATAAATTACCCGTGGATCAATAATTCTAGCCTCCTCCTTTTGCTTAGCTGCTAACATCTGTGTGGATAGTTTTCATCATCTGTTCTTCTTTTATGTCTTCCATTTCTGAGAAGTATAGAGTGTATTTGAATTGGTAATCTGCTCCTGTATGAGAAGCAGCTGTATCCACTAGAATACAGAGCTTGTGTGTAACTCCCCTGGCCTCTCTGCTCCTCTGGAGCCTGTTAATAGTATGAAGTTACTTGATGGCCCTCTTGCCTCTCATCCCTTGCAGGCTCATGATTACTTACATCAGCAATTCAGTCAGATTGTTCTGCACTACATTCTGGGATACCCATAATACCCATAACCCCCTCAATCACCTTTTTAAATTGCATAGATTAGGGATCCCTCCCCTAAGGATACATGAGTTTTGACAAATAGCATCAGAACCCACCGGTTTCCCATCAGATGACTTCACCACCCTGGATTTTCCACTGCTCACCTGTTTAACCCTCCTCCTTACTTTAATTCTGTCCCTGTCAGTAACTTTTTTGTTGTCTTCATAGTTTGGTGGAGGGTTTTGTTTGTTTGTTTGGTTTCCTTCAAGCTTACCTTGTGAGCAAAATCCTATGGCACAGCTGCCTTTGCAGACTGACTTCATCCACTTAGCAATGTGTACTTAAGATGATCCACATCTATTTTTATCAATTAAAATAGCAATATGCCTATTACTATTTATTTATCCATTAACCCATTAAAGGTCATCTTGGCTTTTTAACAGTTGAGGTGAGTAAACCTAGGAGTATAGTTATTGTCTTCTATGGTAAAGACTGTGTCCAGCTTTATGAAATTACTAATCTAGATTTCAAAGCAACGCTACCATTTTTCTGCTCCCATCAGCAGGAAGGAACACTAAAAGGCTTTTGGACTTTGACTTTACACACAATGTGTTAGAACACTGTTCTTTCATTTGTGACTCTTCAGTGTTCACACTTTGTCCTGTGCTCCTTGGATAGATGCATCTTCTCCAGTAAGGAGTCCGTTCAGATCGCTTTGCCCATTTTGGCATTGGGTTACTTCCTTCTGTTGAATTTTAAGGGTTCTTTGTGCATTTCGGATATTAGGCCTTTATCAGTATTTTGCAAGTATTTTTTCAGCAATATGCTTTTCATTTGTACTTTGGGAGTAAGCGCCACTCTTCTAACCCCCAAAGCTTGCACACAATGCTAAATGCTGTTAGCAATAGTTCTATCTCTGCCCACCATGGTCACTTTGCTTCCACATGTGATCCCAGCATACTAAAACCATTCCTTAATTTCAGCCATTCTCTACCAAGTGAACTTCATGCACTGGGCCACCACTGCCCATCGCTAGCTGTTTCTTGTCCTTATTGATTTCAAATCGATGACCAGTTGATATTGCGCTTCCTCAATTGTCAGAAATCCAATCCAGTGTGTGTGTGTGTGCGCGCGCGCGCTTATTTGTTTTGGCTTGGAGGAGACATACAAGCCAAGAGGAAGGTAGCCACGATGTGTGTGGCGTGTCAAGTCTCTGAGAAGCTAATGCTTGTCTGTCTTCCTTCCCATGATCTCCAGTCATCAAGCCTCCTTTACGTCACTTCAAACGCCCCGCTTATGCATCTAGCTCCTATGCGCCTTCAGTTCCAAAGAAAACGGATGACCATCCTGCAAGGTACAAGATGCTGGACCAGCGGATCAAAATGAAGAAGATCCAGAACATCTCTCATCACTGGAACAAAAAATAGGGCAAGCACAAGAAGAGAGGGAGTGAGGAAGGGCCTGCCTGTCTGCCTCAGCACCAATCAGATGCAACGGTACACACCAGGGAAGTCATGCAGCTGGCGCTCCTATGATTGACTCTAAGAGGCAAAGTGAAAATTGCTTGAGATTTCCCTTGGTCATTCTTTTATCCATACAACAGGCACTGGATCCGGGGTTCAAATCCAGACTCCAACAAAAAACTAGTAAATGGTAGATTTGATTTTATTACATTAGTCTTTAAAAGACTTAAGTTGCAACCAAATTAAAATGATATATCTTGCTCGGAAAATAAAATTCTTCCCACTGCCGTGTTTTCTAATCCCCAAGAGATGACTTGCCCCTATGCAAACACTGGCTCAATAACTATGAGGGGTAAGAAATGTACTTCTAAAGATAATTTTCCAATTAAAATTATGTTATGTTGTGAAATTAAAATGTAGTTACATCATTTTTCCTTTTGTTATCCCCCTTCCATACCCTCATGCACACATGCCCTTGATCTCCCTCAGAATCATGGCCTCTTGCTTTAATTGTTGATATTATATATATATATACATATATATTAATTTATATATAGCAATTATATATTTATATTCCTAAATATATAAATATAATCTGCTCAGTCCCTATGTTACTTGCATCTGTATGTTTCCAGAACAGCCTATTTGGTACTGTGCTCTTCCCTGAGATAAACTAACTTTCCCCCAGTCTCAGCATTTCTTATTTACTTATAGTTCTTTGTCTGTGGTTGTAGCCCTGGGGGATTTCCCTGTTCCATGTTAACATGTCTGTTAGTGTTGTCCAATTATAAATGCACTGATTTAAATTTAAAATACTCAAAATCGAAGCAGATGTGACGTTCAAAGCAAACACAGCTGAAACAAATGTACTTATGAGCACAAAATCAGAGAAAAGATGGGTGATGGGTTGCTTTTTTCATGAATTTTTCAGAATTCAGGTTTAACAAAGTAGATCCAAGGAAGTGTGTGTGTGTGTGTGTGTGTGTGTGTGTGTGTATGTGTGTGTGTGAAAGAGAGAGAGAGAGAGAACGAGAGAGAGAGAGAACGAGAGAGAGAGAGAACAAGAGAGAGAGAGAGAGAGCACTCATTCCAAGCAGCTCCAATGTACTTTGTAGGATTTGAATTTTCTAGACATGAGAGAGACAGAGAGACAGAGACAGAGAGACACAGGGAGACAGAGAGATTTCTGATCACATCTCATTACTAGAAGCTTCTATGTACTTCATAGGATCTGTGAATTTTCTAGACATGCATTTGGCTCAATTCATCTAAATCCTTCCCTTCTATCGGTAAAGTCAATGATTGATGAAGTGCCTTCTGGCTTAAACTTTCCAGGCTCCAGATCTACTCTATAGGAAATGGTGCTGTAAAGTGATGAACCTAGTTCTAATTCTTCATTTCCAACTTTGTCTCCCTAAGTCTAAAGATACCTTTAAATTAAATTTTAGCTCATCTAGCTCACAGCCTGCCTACTAAAAAATGTCGAGGGCTCCCACCTGTTCTCCTCCCTGTTGGTGAGACAGGACATCTTTCTAACCCATGTCTTGTTGGGTGGTTTAGAAAAAGCCATTGTTAGCTTTTCTGTAACTTTACCAATTCTTATTTTGAGACCGAAATCATGGAAATGAATGCACAGGAAGACTCATGGCCAGAGGTAGCTTTTGATCCCTTCAGACAGACTGGGGTGAGGGAAGGCATCTGCAAATTTGGATTTGATGTACAGCATGTTTACAATTCTTTTCTGCCTGAGACTTGCCACAGGTCCTTGGACTTGTGGTGTGATGCTGCAAGCCTCGGTTTGTGTAACCCACTCTTCCTTTATGAAGGACATGTATCATATTGTAGGTTTGGGATGCTATTGCCGTGCTCTGTAAGTAATAATAGGTAAAGAGAAACATTAGTACAGAGCACTCCATGCAGGACAAGCTATCTAGGAAAGCAAGGAGCCTTCTATGGTAGCCAGGCTTAACTGCAGAGCGTATAGTTCAATTCCATAAACCATAATTACCTAAGAAACAAGAGCCAGAGTCTAGTGAGCACTGTGCTGTTGGGCAGCTCATATCTAATGTAGATTATTCTGGTAATTGTTATTTATACAAGTGAGAAATCACTGACGTTTTGTTAAGCAAGTCAATCGCAATTCTTAGTTCCCTGCCCAGTATTTGGGCAAGAAAAGCTATGTGCAGGCTGGTAGTGCACCTTCTTCTGGATTAGGTTAAGTGACAAGTAATGCCTGTAATGACTGCCGCCTGCCTGTTGCTATGCAGGAGCTTTAATGCCGAATACGCAGAGCTGTTTGACTACACATTGACAAGGTTGGGGAACACTCCTTCCCTGTCTCTCAAAACCTACAGCCTTGGGTTTCAGGCTTCAGTGGAGCTGTTATTTCTTTCCTAGTTGTTTTGGAAATTAAGGATGTTTGCTCCTTCTGTATTTTCTTCTCTTAAGATATGTTTTGTCTTTTCAACCTTTGCTAGAACTTTAGTTCAACCAATGTACACACGTGGAGAGTCTGCCCTGTTTGTTAAGGCCTACCATATTTTTGCACGCAGAAACGAAGGTTATATTCTTACAGCAAATAAAAAAAAAGATGCTTTGAATGAACTTTCTCACTTGAGTCATCTTTTTCTTCCTAGAATTCTGATGAAAATGTTCCCCCAACCCCAGTTTGGCAATATTCAGAATTGCTTCTCTTGTTTGGGGTGAATACAGCAACTCGCCCTTTTCCGTTTATGAATTTATGTATGTCAATGATTGCATGTTTTAATAATCTTATCAGTCATGCATGTTAACTCAATAAGTTAATTTGCTAACATGAGTAACCTGTGATGGGGCTACTCAGTGGGTAAACACTCTTGTTATGAACTCATGTGACATTCCAGGGTAGCCTAGCTAGTGATTAATAACTAGGACTTTACAGTTAGAAAAACAGATTATTAAATCTTGGATCTGACTGATGTGTTCTGTACTGAGTTACATAATCTCGCTCAACTTTTGTTTCATTTACTATGAAATGAGGATATAATGTGACCCCACCCAGAATAATGTGGGGTTGACCAGAGGGAACAAACTGCAGTTATTAGCTGTTGTTTCTTGTGGAGAAAAGAGACCCAGCCTGAGAAAGAAATTGGACCTTCAGTTAAAGAACTGCGTCCCCCACTGGTTCTCTCCATGACTTAGGTGATCATCTTCCATTGCAGCATGTTGTAATAGGAGCAGGTTGTATCCACCGCCCGGCTAGCTTAACCCCCCAAAATAACCACACAGAAATTGTATTAATTAAATTACTGCCTGTCCCTTTATATTTAGCCTCTTCTTGGTCAACTCTCACATCTAGATCTAACCCATTTCTATTAATCTGTGTTCACCATGAGGACATGGCTTACCGGGCAAACTTCAGCATGTCTGATCTGGAGGCTCCATGGCAGCTCTCCATCTGACTCTGCCTCCTTCCTCTCAGAATTCAGTTCTGTCCTCCCCGCCTATCGAAGTGCTGCCCTATCAAAAGGCCAAGGCAGTTTCATTAATAACCAATGAAAGCAACACAAATACAGAAGGACCTCCTACCCCAGCAGGGAATTACTGCCCAATTGGCTATTTGCACATCACCCTGTATTCAAGGCCCTAGCATAGTCCTCTGTATGGTAGAAACACAATATCCCCACCCCAATATTCCTTTGTTATGTGCCTCTTGCACTTTAGAGTTCCTGCTCCTCCAACTATAATGGTTGTTTGTTCCTATCGTGCCCTACTTCCCCTGACATCCCTGACCACCTCCCTGCATCTTGTCATCTACAGTAGCATCCTTCACTTTATTCAATCCCAGCACATTTGCTTTGCTCCTCCCCACACCGTCTGCTGCACAGAACTTGTCCTGGAGGAGCAGCATGATTTAGACATCAGTAAGGACAGCCTCCCTTTCTGCAAGAAGTCTTACTGACTGTGACTCTTTTAGGGAAAGATTTGTCTTTGTCTTTTTGGGCTTGTATTATCACCTTCCTCTTCCAACGCTGAGCCTGAAATTCTCGTGAATGTGTAGAATGACCCATTTCTCATCCATCACAGGACACAAGTTCTGGGTATTTTCCAAGCATACTCGCATACTCTTGAAAATGATTGAGATAATTCTAGGTCTCATCTCTGCAAGAACAAAGAATTCAGAGAATCTTTGCAATGGCAGTTTTCCCTTCCCTATCACCCAATTCTTAGGTAAGACTAGTCCTTGTAATAAAATAACAGAATCACTACCCCTTCTCTCTTCTGTTTCCTCTCTCTGACCAGCATAAACTGCAGGAGTTCTAGTTATGATACCACTATACACAAGAACAGGTCATGGGCACCACTCACAAGTACCCAGAGAACACTGATCTTCGTTCTTCCTCCCATAACTGCCTGCATCCTGTCATGTACATGCACAGCCACATGGAATGTATTCCAGCATTCCCATGGCTGTGGTTTCCCATTTCCTCAAGGGGTAAGATATGGTCGGCTTAATTTTGAGTCTAGAATTTCCATCCGCAGCCCTATTCCTAAGACAAAGGAAGGTCATTAGTCTTCTGCAAGACTGCAACTTGTTTCCCATTGAATGCCAGCTTCACTTGATCAATTAATTTTGATCTGTTTCTAATGAACAGATACTTCTGGGCCAATACTTTGATTTATAGGAAGTTTGTTGAAAGCAAGAAGGAAAAATATTCTAGAACTGGAGTTCGGCAATACATGAAAGAGTAAACCATGCTTCTGTGCATGGTGTGGGTTACACACCCCAGTGACCTTAGTAGCTGAAGCAAGAGGAAGCCCTTTCGTGCCACAGATAAAGCAGGATTGTGGGGTAAGTATCGTTTCCAAGACTGAAAAAAGCACTTATAAGTATGAAATATACTTTGTTATAATAAAAGGATATTGAAAACAGCTTTGGAGTGATGGCAGAGGATGGTAACTATGGTATCCTGTTCTGACCTCCACACACACACCTGCACAGTTAAGTTTGTCTGGCAATTTCTGTGACTTTTCCATGGCACGTTCATGTACCTGGGTAATATGTTCAGCTAATCAGGAATACAGAAATACCTCATCTAAAAATCGGTTACTGCCCTTTTAGTCACAACTTTCCATAGCACACTAGTGAAGAGATCTTAGATGGTAAGGCATAAAGGTAAAAGGATACTAACATATAACATAATACAAATATGCATAAAGTGCCAGAGATTATAATTATAGAACAAAACTCTAGCACAACGGATTTTAAGTTTCTTTGCTGTTTTGAGTATCTGCCATGATCCAGGGTCTTTATATACTAACATATTTAATTCTCATAAGTCAATCTGTCTGGGAAATTTTAAAATTCTTATTGCTGATTAGGAAGTTGAGACTCTGAAATTTTGCAGCTGGCTGACATGGAATGAGTGACTCAGTTGTCTAGAATGTTCCTGGAATGCACGTGGCTCTAGGTTTGATTCAGTGCACTGTAGCAAGGCTATCTATAACGATGACATATATGATTTATATGATATTTTCACAGTGAAAGGTAAAGATAAAGTCAAACGGAAATGTTCCCATGGCGGGGCTCCATATCATTCTGCCTCCCGGATTCTTCCTCATGTTGTCCCTTTACAAATGTCAGA